GGGCTGTGATTGGATCCGGTCTGTGCAGGGCTGTGATTGGATCCGGTCTGTACAGGGCTGTGATTGGATCCGGTCTGTACAGGGCTGTGATTGGATCCGGTCTGTACAGGGCTGTGATTGGCTCCGGTCTGTGCGGGGCTGTGATTGGCTCCGGTCTGTGCGGGGCTGTGATTGGATCCGGTCTGTACAGGGCTGTGATTGGATCCAGTCTGTACGGGGCTGTGATTGGATCCGGTCTGTACGGGGCAGTGATTGGATCCGGTCTATACAGGGCTGTGATTGGCTCCTTGCTGTGTGTATATATCATGTCTGAGCTCCTCCGATCTGCCGGCAGGTAAGGCTCACCTGAAGAAGGCTCTCATGAAACACGAGGAGGCCATGAGGATCCACGGCCTGTGCAAGATCCTCCGCAAGATGGACATCCTGCAGGAAGTGCTGGCCCTGGCACACAAGCGCTCGCTCGGCAAATACTCCGACATCGACCACGAGGAAGATTTCTTCGAGACGGCGGAGGCTCCGGACATCCAGCGTAAGACATCTTTTCATCAATATTCCTTTCATTATGTTTGTCAGAATCACAATGTAAGATTCTCATCATCGATTAGTTGCAGCGCTGCCGCTCCTCCGTTCGCCTCCCACTGGTGCCGACTGCGGCTTTCTGTGTCCCACCTGTATCGGCGGAGGCGGCGGGGACACGGACCACTGCAGCCGGCACCAGCGGGGAGGAGAGACCGCTGTGACTGCATTCCCCCGCTGCCCTCCCTTGTGTCTCCTCATGTCTCCTCTGCCTCCCCTCGTGTCTCCTCTGCCACCTTGTGTCTCCTCTGCCTCCCCTCGTGTCTCCTCTGCCACCTTGTGTCTCCTCTGCCTCCCCTCGTGTCTCCTCTGCCACCTTGTGTCTCCTCTGCCTCCCCTCGTGTCTCCTCTGCCACCTTGTGTCTCCTCTGCCTCCCCTCGTGTCTCCTCTGCCACCTCGTGTCTCCTCTGCCTCCCCTCGTGTCTCCTCTGCCTCCCCTCGTGTCTCCTCTGCCTCCCCTCGTGTCTCCTCTGCCTCCCCTCGTGTCTCCTCTGCCTCCCCTCGTGTCTCCTCTGCCTCCCCCTGTGTCTCCTCTGCCTCACCTCGTGTCTCCTCTGCCCCTCCTCAGCCCCGCACTCTTCCACCTCTGTTCCAATCTTGTCCGATCCTGATCTCTGAACACGGACTATTTCAGACCGGGACTGTTTGCCTGTAATTGTAGCCGTCACTGATTGTGGAGCGTCCCCCGGCTCCGTGGTTGTGCAGGAGTGAAGGAAAGGCTGGAGTTCCGCTTTCAGCCTCATCTTCATCCTCCCTCTTCTCTGTTTTGTAGCAAAAACCCATCAGAAGCCGGAGATAAAAAATCCGATCTTCTCCAAGGTGAAAGTGACCGACATGTTCCAGCGGCTGGTAGGTGGAGAGTAAATATCTTTGCTTGTTGTACTTAGCACAGCGAAATCCTTCTTAGGATAAACAAATGTTCATTTATTGAAGTTCCTTGTCATATAAACAACAAGCGCTTTCGGGGCCACACAGGGTCCCCTTCATCAGGTTTCAGCATTGACAATCTTAAAGGAGAACTATGGGGTTCAGTCTTTTCCCCATAGTTCTCCTTAGGGTAACGGGAGGACACAAACTAGCGTCCTCCCGTCACCCTAAGCTCAGTATATAGGGAGCTACAGCCCGCGGTATACTGAGACGCCGCAGCTGAAGCGGATCCCGACAATTGTGCCGGGATCCGCCCAGCTGCGTGACTGACAGCTGGCTCGGCCTAGCTAAAGGCAGAGCCAGCTGTACCCGCCCCCTTCCCCGTCCGTTCCGCCAGTCAGCGCTGGAGGATCGGAGCGGGGAGGGGGGAATCCAGCCCCTCCCCTGTCACGGCAGAGAGCCGTGACAGGATCGAGAGGTGAGCGAACGCCAGTATGTGTTCTCTCACCTCCCGATCTACTGAGCCGACATGTGACAGTCTCATTGTCACAGGTCGGCTAGAACTATGAGGTGAGTGAAAAGTACACCCCTCCCCCCCTCATAGTTCTCCTTTTAAGCGGAGAGACCGGAAAGGATTTTCACAGCAGAATTTTGTTAAAATAGTCAATCGTACTGCGGTACGAACAGAACCGGGCAAATCCCAGCAGCCTGTGTGCCATAGACTTGGCAGAGATGCAGAGAAGTGAAGTATTAAGGCCGTGACACACTGCACACGAAGCAGCGCGGAGCGGTGGCGCGCTGCCTTTGCGAGCAGTGTGTAATGTCATTTTCCCCTGGGCACCTCAGCTGGCGAGAGCTCGCGGAGCTGAGCGTGCCGAGATGAACAATTTCAACTTCAGCCAATTGGTTTGCGCGTATAAACCGGCGCGACGGGATGCGACGCCTGGCCGGTTGTTAAGCACGAGCCGATTGGCTGAAGGTTGCAGTCAATCATCTGGCTGAACTCAGCTCACACACTGCACGCAAAGCTCCAGGCCGGATAGCTTTGCTTCGCTCTGCGCGGCTTCGCGTGCAGTGTGTCACGGCCTTTAGTGGTTGGCGGGGCTATTAAGAGAACCGGTCACGTTATCCTGAATGAGCAAAGTGGGAAGTTCATTGTACGGTAACACATCCTTCTCCTATATTTCCGCCCGCAGGGTCCGCTGTCCGTCTTTTCAGCAAAGCACAAGTGGCGGCCAGCGCAGAAGGTTCACCTTGAGCGGGATGACGGTGGATTCGGTTTCACCCTGAGAGGCGACTCTCCGGTGCTGATTGCTGGCGTAGTTCCCGGGGGCTGCGCGGATGTACGTATCATAGAACACAGACCGTGGTGGCAAATATACTTCCATATACTGTACATATACTATACATTTTGGACAATTTCATGCTCTCAACCTTGTGGGAGGAGTTTGGGGACGACCCCTTTCTGTTCCAACATGACTGCGCACCAGTGCACAAAGCAAGGTCCATAAAGACATGGATGGGGGAGTTTGGGGTGGAGGAACGAGCGGAGACTGCGAGCCCCTCCCCAACATCAGTACCTGACCTCACAAATGCTCCAACATTCCCATAGACACACTCCTAAACCTTGTGGATGCCTTCCCAGAAGAGGCGGAGCTGTTATAGCGGCAAAGGGCGGAGCCAACCCAATACTGAACCCTACGGACTAAGACTGGGATGCCATTAGAGTTCATGTGCGTGTAAAGGCGTCCCAATACTTTTGGCAATTTAGATGTCTCTGCGGGGGGGGGAGGCTGTAGGTAGATGTCTCTGCGCGGGGGCTGTAGGTAGATGTCTCTGCGCGGGGGCTGTAGGTAGATGTCTCTGCGCGGGGGCTGTAGGTAGATGTCTCTGCGCGGGGGCTGTAGGTAGATGTCTCTGCGCGGGGGCTGTAGGTAGATGTCTCTGCGCGGGGGCTGTAGGTAGATGTCTCTGCGCGGGGGCTGTAGGTAGATGTCTCTGCGCGGGGGCTGTAGGTAGATGTCTCTGCGCGGGGGCTGTAGGTAGATGTCTCTGCGCGGGGGCTGTAGGTAGATGTCTCTGCGCGGGGGCTGTAGGTAGATGTCTCTGCGCGGGGGCTGTAGGTAGATGTCTCTGCGCGGGGGCTGTAGGTAGATGTCTCTGCGCGGGGGCTGTAGGTAGATGTCTCTGCGCGGGGGCTGTAGGTAGATGTCTCTGCGCGGGGGCTGTAGGTAGATGTCTCTGCGCGGGGGCTGTAGGTAGATGTCTCTGCGCGGGGGCTGTAGGTAGATGTCTCTGCGCGGGGGCTGTAGGTAGATGTCTCTGCGCGGGGGCTGTAGGTAGATGTCTCTGCGCGGGGGCTGTAGGTAGATGTCTCTGCGCGGGGGCTGTAGGTAGATGTCTCTGCGCGGGGGCTGTAGGTAGATGTCTCTGCTCGGGGGCTGTAGGTAGATGTCTCTGCGCGGGGGCTGTAGGTAGATGTCTCTGCGGGGGGGCTGTAGGTAGATGTCTCTGCAATGAGTCCTCGGCATCTCTAGTCTGCAGAGATATGAATGTTTGTCTTCGGTGTGTGTCGCAGGGCGCTGGTGTGAAGGAAGGCGCATACATCGTCTCTGTGAATGACACGGACTGCAGGTGGGCCAAACATTCCGAGGTGGTCGCCTTGTTGAAGAATACGGGAAATGACGGAGCGGATATCGAGGTTGTCACCTTCCAGAGCGCCGACACTCAGAACACGGTATGAAGGTCACACAATATCAGCGTCCCGACATCTCCTGCCACAGATCAACTCTCCTACAGCACCGCACTGCACATGTTACCGGCTCTGTCTCACTCCTCCCTCTCTTCTGTCTTTTTCCTTTCCATCTCCCTTTGCTCTCTCTGTTGTCTTGGTTCTCTCCTGTTCCTCTCTCCATCTTTTTGCTCTCCTCTCTCTCTCTCTCTCTCACCTCTCTCTTCTCTCTCTCTCCTCTCTCTCTCACCTCTCTCTTCTCTCTCTCCTCTCTCTCTCCCCTCTCTCTTCTCTCTCTCACCTCTCTCTTCTCTCTCTCTCCTCTCTCTCTCTTCTCTCTCTTCTCTCTCTCTCTCTCTCTCTTTCTCCTCTCTCCCTCTCTCTCTCTATCTCTTTTACTCTGCCTATAGCATTTTTGCTCTCTTAACTCCTTCTTTTCTCTCTGCTCTCTTTCTATTTGCTCTCTTTTCTCAGTCTTTTTGCTCACTTTCTATCTTTCTTTCTTTTTTTTTTTCTTCTTTTTTTTCTTTCTTTCTCTTATTGCTCTTCTCCACTCTCCTCTCCTTCTGTCTTTACACTCTCTTGCGCTCTCTCTCTCTCCCCCCCTCTCTCTTTGCTCTTGTGTCTCTCTCTCTCGCTTCTCTCTCTCTTTGCTGCCCGCTCTCTCTGCTGTCTTGGCTCTCTCCTGCTCCTATTTCTCTGTTTGCTTTCTTTGTCTCTTTCCTCCCCCCCCCCCCTTCTTCCTTTTTCTCTGCCCTTTGCCTC